AATGCCACTCATCACCAGTCTCCACCTGGCCATCAAATCATTGGCCAAAACTCTTGGAGTGCAACCATCCAGTCAATTCCTTATCCACCAAGTGGTCCACCTGTCAAATCCATGTCTCTCCAATTTAGAGACAAGGACATTGTGCGGGACAGTGTCAAATGCTTTGCACAAGTCAAGGTAAATGACACCAGTTGCTCTTCCCTTACCCACCAACACCGTAATCAGCTTATTCTTTCTAATCTAAAAATTACCAAGAATACTCTTGCTCTTGCTCCAAACTGGCTATCCAGAAGCAACTGAAGACATCACGAGATTTGAAAGTTTGAGATCTTTTTTAACAAAATGTTAGGTGTCTGCAAACACTGTTGTCTAAAACAAGGGACAAAAAGTAACCATTTCTGAAGCACTGAATGATCCAACAGCATTCTTCATAAACTATATGGGAAGAACAAATTTAGGTCACTGAAACACTTCTCATAAAAGATTCTGGCTAGATTTAGGCTAGAGAAGTTCTGAATAGATAGGATTATACTGACACCTTATATGGATACTACTCCTGAGGTAGGAGACTAAGAATACACTCAAAAAACTATGCTATCAGCCTCTATAACAGAAAAGCAATACCAAGCATGGAAAATTAAGTACATTTGAAGAAATTCATCTAAAAACTATGTCCAAAGAAACTATTTCTTGGCAGCTTATTTTAGCTTCTTGACTATCATTTGTTATTTTGTGTTTCTTATAAAACTGACTGTAAAAACATTTTTACCAGAAAATTTCCACCATACTGTTCCAGAAGCTGAGGGCTTGGGAAAGGCTACTTTCCAAGCACACGCATGGAACTTATAAATTCACTAAACCCTCACAAGGTTCAAATTCATGAATTTACACAGGATCTATGCCTCTCCAATATATTTTAGCTCCACTTTAGCTCCTCTACTTCTGTCATGACTTTTTCCATTGGCTTGAGAGGTCTGTTGCAATGGAAGAGAGATTTGAAGATGGAGGAAGACTAGTACATATGTAAAATGGGAAAACAGCAAGTATCTGACAAATAATACTCTCTAATTTGGCATAATCCTGCAAATTTGATTTTTTTTTCCTGTTAATAGAGAAAAATCTGCAAAAAGCCTTTCATACATGAGTTTCCATCCTGGACTGGAAAGGGAAGAGGAACAATAGTGCTGCCATACACTGACTAAATTTATCACCTGGAGATCCATCAGATTTGCATCTGAGAGGCAAAAAGGACGATGCGGTCAACAGTCATGGCTGTACTACCATGAGTAGTACAACACTAATAGTAAAAACATTAATTGAGAGCAAGCAGTGCTGTACAAAATAATTTCAGAACAAAGAAACTGAGCAAGCATACACATGTAGTATCAAAGCAGGGACTATTCACTAGAATACCCCATCATTTCAATTAAACCAAAAACATTTTTTATTATTTGTGTAAGCCACATTTTAGTACCAGTATTTTCAGGCATATTTATAACATACAGTAACAAAGTGTGCTAATAGCTATGAAAATAACTATCTTCAGACAGCAGATTGTTACAACCCTGTTGAAAGCATCAATATTTAATGTGTACTTACTCAATTCTTTTCCATCTTCAGGTTTATAAAATATTGTATAGTTACTGATAAATCCATTTCTTTTATCCTTTGAAATCTCCTTCCATTTTATTGTAACTTCATTTTTCCCTGGAATGCCTGTGTCAGCCACAGGTCCTTCTGATGGCTCTACGCAGATGCATAGTAAATTAGAAAAACAGTCTAAGTACTGCAATGTTATGCATCAGTGTTACTTCACAGGTAATAGTAACATTAGGGGCAACAAATGTACAAGGAAATATGCCACCTTAGTGCTCTGATACAGCCCTTAACTTTTCTCACACTCTTTAAAATGTGATTTCTTTTGATAATACTTCCCCTCATCTATTCTGGTATTTGCATAGTTCTCAGTGTTACTGCATCCAAATACCTCGATACCTCATACTGCTATCCTCACATCCTCACAACATCAGAGAGAGATCAAGAGGTAAAATATCCTTATGCACTCATGGGGAACTCAGGTACAAGGTCACTGTGTATGCAGGACGTTTCTGGCTGAGCCAAGATTCAACCGGGGTCTTCAGCACTCCTAGTTTGTGCCCATTACATTAGACAAATTCTTTCTACTTATACAATAAAACCTCACGTGCATCGCTCGTAACTTTGAAGCACAAGTCCTCTGTGCTTCAATTTTAGAACAAGTATTTTCCTTACCATTCTCTGACAACCTTTAGTACTGTGACAGCTCGCTGTAAACAGGAAAGCACTCAAAACAACGTTCTAATTGTGCTAGTAAGTATTACTCAAACATAAAATACTCCGTTACCACCTCCTAGTAATTAATGCTGTTTAGTAATGCATTGTACTACGTGTCCGTGCACACTTACATAGATCTATATACCCATACACACAAACTGACATTTTCACCTGAAATCTTAAAATTACTAGTAAACTACATTCTTACAGCTGGCTGTATAAATCACTGAATTCACATTAAATTTCTTCAAATAAAGAAACCTTCCTCCCCTCCCCCTCCAAAACTATTTCATCCACAGTTTCTATCCCATCAGAAATATCATGGCTTCTCAAGCTTTTCAAATCATCCATTTTATTCTATAAGTAGAATTTCCTCATATATTAGGACTGATAAATGCAGTTAAGCATTAAAATCAAGTCTTTTATATATATATATTTATATATAAATGAGCTGTAACATCTAAGAGATAGCCAGTTTAAAAAACTGTTTCAAAGTTTGTAGGTATATTCTTTCCAAGTGCTTTACATACAGTATGTCAAATTTGCAACAAAAGAGTGGATTCAAGCATCAGTGTACCTGTATCACAAGATACAAATTTTCATTACTGAACAATTCAGTAGCTGACCTACGAACAGAAATCAGGAAGCCCAAATTCTGTTATTTTCAGTATTTACATCTCTCCTTCACTAATACCAGTACCAAATTGCTGAGAGATAATACACCCTGAGAGACAGACTACAACACACCTTTCACAACATTATTAGTTTAAAATACGTACTTTTTTCTTGAACATAAGTTTGTACGGAATATGGAGCTGCTACTTTATTTCCATAGAGAGGATACACTGAGATGTTATAGCATATAAATGGTTTAAAGTTTCCTGTAAAGGAAAAGAAGGAACACTTACATACAATCCTTTACGTGAGATTAATACAATGAAAGTAGAATAAATCACAGTGCAGTTCTAAAGATACTGTTACAGGTCTCTATTTTCTTCAACATTTTAGCAAGTGCAATATATATTTATTGCCTCAAATGCTCATTAGGTCCCTTAACACAATGAATTTTATTTAGCAGTATTCATAGGAGCACTTGATTTCTGACTCATCTTTCACTAGAAATACTTCAAATGGGTGACTATACTTTGGCCTTATACAGCTTCTCTATACGAAGCCACTTACTCATAACAGTTTAAGGTTTTGGAGCAAGTTCTTATTTTCAAATAACCAGCATAACATGATGCTTCCAGGAATATTTTTAATTTCACATATCTTTAAGTTTACTGCTCTGCAGAAGAGAGTTTCATCTCACACAAACAGCTTAAAAGCCACAATGGAGCCCCAGGTCTTTATGTTGATGTTCCAGTTATGCCAACTGCAGATCTGCTTCTAACCAGCTTGACTCAAAAGTTCAATTGTACAAGTGAAATCTCTGCAGTAGAATGTTATATGTTTCAAGACATAGTACAAGCTTCTGGAAATTAAGTTTTGAACTCTGAAGAATCCAGTGACCAACTAATCAATAGGGTGCACACCCCCTACTTACAAGCCACTCTTAGCAACTCTGAGAGGACACATCTGTGGCTTTACACCCCCATAGGATAAAACCAGTGTAAAGGGTTTCGTAGATCATTCCTCCTCAAGCTCTGCAGCTTGCTAAGCAAGAATGATGATCTTAAAGATCATAAAGATAAGAAAGATCACGGCATTATATCAACTCTCTACTCCTTTTTCAGTTGCAACCTAGCAAAAGTTACGATGGCCCACATGTCATTGTTAAAATAATACCACAAAAGAACGCAAGAATCAGGCCTGAATAACAGTAAGTCTGAATTTGCCTTGACATTTCTAATGTGACTTGTGCTTAGGGTAAACAAAGATCTCCTAATAATGCTGAGAAGGAAAGTTGGGGTTTTTATGTATTGTGAACAGCTATAAACAGCATTTACTCCTCACAGTAAATTGCTGAAATAGTGTAATTTTCAGCATAAGACTCAAGACTCGCCCATCTCAGTTCAATGTGTAATAAACTGCTCTTGAATTTTACTTCAAGCAGATTTTTAAGTTGTTTTACTGTAGCACAGAAACAGTATTTAAACCACTGTTGTCTGAGCCAGTTAAACAAATTTCCCAGGCAAGCTAGCTATATTCATCATTAACAAACTGAGAGTTCCTTTCACTTTAGACAATGCAGGGTACTTGTTTTCTGAAAACTTTGGAAATTCTTTTGCCTTGATGTAGGATTCAGAAAGATCCTTATATAAACAAAAACCGCTTTTAAACTTGATAAATTTAATTTCACGAATGGGGGACCAAAGAATTAATAATCCAAAATTCACTTATCACATATATTACATATATTAAACATTGTCACCATTATCCCTGCGTTTGTAAAAAAAAAAAATCCAAATGCCTTTAAACTAAAAAGTGAACAGATCCTCACCTATGTGTCAGTGAATCATAAGGCCACTGCAATCTCTTAGAAATGCCTTAGGTGATAATACAAATGTGATTACGTGATACTTAACAAGCCAGATTGACCAATGACTCCACTTGCTTATTTTAAAGTAGAATTCTCCCTCAAGTCCTCTTTCAGGTTTCTTGCTCTCTCTAACACAAATGAAGGTACATGATCTGTTTCCATCTTCAAATGCATTTTTTTGGTTCTAGATTTCTCTGCTAAAATAGTATACATCTGTCATAGGCCTCCCTACTGGAAGACCCATGGCATAAGATCAAGACACAGTAATGCTTAAACATGAAATCTGTAGCCTAATCCTATATGACAGCAAAAACCATCTTGTCTGTTACGTGAAAATCTGAGAGTGTTAAAATTGCTATTGAATTACATGCAAAGATTTCAATAAAGCATGTTATTTTTTAAAATGGTCTGAGGAAATCTGGGTAAGTTCATCCTTGTTTGTTCTTTCCAGTCTACCTACAAATAAATATACATAAATACATATATATCTGTACATTGTTACAGTTGTAACTGATAAATGAACATACTTCTGTTAGTTTTCCAGTGTGTAGAATTTGATACATATTGCCATGATCTAATAAAAGGATCTATCTCCAGTTCCTCATACCACTCAACTACGTATTTGGTTACTTCTGGTTCAGAGGCTATCCATTCCACAACCAATTCTTCATTTGTTTTAAAGGTCCTCACTGTTTCAATAACCTGAGAAGCTAGAAATTTAACAGAAAATGTCAGCAATTCTGTTTTCATAAAAACTGCAGCAAGAAAACAATTCAATTATAGCAAGTTGAGACTGTGTCTTTAGAAGACTGTGGGACTTAACCAAGGTTAAAAAAAAGTTACTTTCTACCCATGTTCACATGCATGTACTCAAAATACTTTAAAATAAAGCATATAAGAATTGTGACAATAAAAAGGGTTGGGGGAGGATTGAGGAGATGATATTCAAGGAGATTTACACATACAAAATCAAAGATCAGTCTCTCTTTTAGGATCCAGTTTAGGAACCAATTTACTACCTATTTTACAGTAGTGAAGATAAGCAAGTTTTGATTGAGATGACAAAGGCAATAGGAAAAGAGTAAATCAAGTCAACAAGGTCATGGACAGTGAAGCAAAAGTGAACCATCAATCTGCAAAACAGAGGTAATGGAAGTCTGAGTAAAAACCCAACCTAGCAAAGCAGAGGGGAAAAAAAGACCTGGTGAAGTAGAGGGGAAAAAAGATGTATGTAGGGGAAAAAGGATGTCGTGGCATGGAAAAATCAGAAAAACATTTATTGTGGGATACAAAAGTGAATAGACAGGTAGTCAGCAACCTCCAGGACAAGATGACATCACATCTACATATTCAGTTTTCTGATTAGAAGTGGAATTTGATTGAGCAATTCCAGCGGGACGCTTGCACTTATTTCATGAACAACTGATGTAGGAGAAGTGATTCAAGGGTGTCAAATGCAACCTCTCTTCTGGATCACGGGTATGCAGCAGGATGTTGCAATACAAGGCTCACAGAGATATCAGAATTAAACGTAAGAGCCAACGAACACAACTGTTGTGCTAGAGCAGACCAGCTTCCTGACCATGGCAGTGGATGGGATGGGGTACTTTGGGAATGCATATGAAATGAGAATAAACACAATGTTTCTCTCTCTGCTTCCACTGACGCATCTTAGGGACTTCTATTAAATGCATCTTTGAATAATGTTGTTAAATGCACTGCAATAATGCCCTGTGGTAACCAATTTTATGACCTAGTACAGGGATGAGACAGAATTGGGTGGGACTCTAAATTTATTTGGGAGATCCAAGGTTAAAAAAAAAAAACAAAAACAAAACACCCTGAGAAAGTAACAAAATAGAAATTCTAATAAGACATCAAAGTGCTGATACCTTAACAAATATGTCTCAAAAGAAAACCCCAACAATAATAATCTATAACAAAAACATGATGTGTTAGCAAAATATGAAAACCAGATAATACCGTTCTAGTAAAAAGTAATGGACAACACAGCTTTGTGCATAATACAGTTCCATATATACAGATCAATTACAAAAATCCTTAGCACAATTTTGCTTTCCCTATAACAGAACTTAAACAGATGTCAGGAAGATAATTTTTTTGTTAATGAGAAAAATATTGAGAATATTGAGAAACCTTACTTTTTTCATCAGTGGATGGAATCCTCAAAATAGCTTCAGGAGAATTTCCAGCAGAGTTATAGGCAGTAACAGATATTATATACGCCTTTTCATTTAAAAGTAAAGTAATTTTCTTATTGGTAGAGATGTTTGTCATTTTAAGTGCAGCATTGTTTTCTGGAAAATACTGTATTTTGTAGCCTAGAATTCTTCCAGAAGGTGGAAAGCTGTTTAATGGCTATTAAAAAATATGCAGTAGTAAGTGTTTCACAGTGTTATTTGTATAAACAAAAGTATATACTGTATTAAAGAGTCTAGATCAAATTACAAAGTTATTATATTATATTTAGAAAAGCAAGATACTTTCTTTAGTCCCATCTTCAGGACAGTCAGCTACAACAATTTTGTTGAAGGAAATGTTAAAAAGTCAAATACTGAGATTTGAAATGCAAAGAGTCTCTGGTCACTCTACTAGATTATTAAAGTGAATTTAAACACAGCTTTGGTAAGACATATTATTTAAGACTAGTTGTAAGGACTTTCAATCAGATTTTCCAGTGATCTAAACACAATTAAACCCTTTCTTTCTGCACAGATTACAAAACTCTATTCATCTACCATTCAGTAAACAAAAGCCTTTTCAATTCTGCTTTAACTCAGTGAGGTTTTTTCCTGACGACAGCAAAAGTCCCTGGCAGTTATATGTCCTACAACACTAAAATACTTCAATGCAACATCAGCTTCAGGATGCCAATATGATTATCAATTTACAGAAAGAGCGTATACCTTCCACATAAGAAATACAGATCTACTTCCAGCTGAGTGTGAAGACTCAATTACCCTCCACAAATCCACTTTTTCTGAAGGAGCTGTTTAAAGACACAGAAATATCTTGAAATTTGTTGTTATATTAAAAAGATAGTGTAATACGGTAAAAACAATCAAAAGGTTTCAAAAATACAGCCTGAGAGCAACTTATTAAAAAGCCTTCTGTTGTGTAACGTGCATTTTTTCCCTAATTAGTACAGCTTCTCTCTTTCTGTAAGTTTCCTTCTGCTTTATTTCATTCATTAAGTTCTAGAAAAGATTTTCTAGTGTTGTTTTATAATTAGCAATTTAATTTCACTACTTATAATTTGTTTTATTGGACATACTTGCTACACTACATTTCTGCTGCTATCCTACTTAGCAATGTTCAGTCTCCATTTACAGCCTTAGTTTTTCCTGTCTTCTCTGTCTATTCACCCATTTTCTTCCTTAACCCTATGTTATCATCTTCCAAATCTCCTCCACTCCTTGCTCTTGTCTTTCAGTTTTCCTTCTTCTATGTTTAAACAAAATACAGGTGTTCTGTTTAAACAGAATTCTAAAGTCAACAGACTAACACACTGAAAATACAGTTTTCCATTATTAAATCCTAATGCCCCGAAGTATAACCAAAGAAAAACTTACTAAATAGTTAGCCTACCTTTCTCTTCTGTGCTTGCTGTTTTCCCTCTACTCCATTCACTCCAGAATATTGACACAACACTGATACACCGAATGGCAACTGAATATTCTGTGGAGTCCCACAGACCTGTGAGATTACATGATCCTGTTTTATCTGCAGAATTCAGTGGGACAGTGGCAAATTCCTGAAAGTAGACACAGAAACAAAAATCATTTGCTATAAAATTTCATGCAAATATGACTTATTTTTTTTCAAAAAAACACAAGGGATGTAGTTTTCATGTTTTCCACCTCACTCCTCTGAAACTCAAAATTACTTGCTTCATATTTCATTTTTCTGTGTAGCACCTTCATCCTTCCTGTAAAACTCCGATGTTTGAAAAATCTGAGCCAAAACTAGGTCTGCACTGACTGACCTGTGGCTTGAAGTGTATGCACCTCACACGTGACACTACAGCAGCTGTGCTGGCACAGGAGGTGCTGGATGACTGCAGTTCCCACTGGTGGGAAGCAACTGGGTATTGCTAAAGCCAGTGTCACCATTTAAGGCTGGGCTGGCAATTAAAGCAGATGACAGATGCTGTCTATTAACCCCTTCCTTTCCCATACAGGAAAGGAAATGAGAAACGGGAGACAGACTTGGAAAATTAAAACAACTTTAAGAAAAC